AACAAATATGATTAGGTTAATTACAATAGGAAATATACACATTATATTGACCAATAAATAGTCCTCAAAAGTTACCATTCGTAGTTCTCTTCGGGATACAACAGTACTCAAACTAGTATTCATGATACTTCTATTATTAATACTCACTATTCTGCCCACACTTCTGCAAATTCTAAAACTTCTATTACTACTCATGCCATAAAGCACATAAGTCGTACCAATACGAAAAATCAAACTTCTGCTCAGACAAACTACAATTCTACTGTCAATATTATAACTGAAATTTGCATTACCACTACCACTACTACTACCACCACAAAACTGCTACTACTACCACAATACTATTACTACTACTGCACTTTTGATGTCTACTACTAACACTCACAAAACAATTACCACTAGTAGTTAAAATGATGTTAATAATAACAACATTACTGCTACTTATTCTATTTCTATTACTAATACCTCTTAAACTTCTAATCACATTTCTACTCACATTACTACTATGACGATTATAACTCCTTACACTACTGCTTACATTACTGCTCCTTCAACGTCCGTTACAATAAACAATACCACTATTCATCATACTGCGTGTCATGCTAATCCCACTACTACTACTACTAGTAATAAAACCAATACCAGTACTTTAACCGCTAAAAATACTGCTGATTATTCTTATAATACTGCTACTAAAACAACCACTACCAAAGTCATACTATTGAGTAAGGAAATCTAGAATTACATTCACTGTAATCAACATTTAGATTGACTATCATCAGTTTTGCATTATAACAAAAGAAAGTGATTTGAATATTTTGAAAAATTTAGGATGTTTACTGCTTGGATATTAATTTCTATGCAGCAAAATTTCCTATGATGTCATTCATATACTTCTAGATGTTTACCTGAATGTTTTCTTAGTGTATACTGACTCTATGACCAAATGATCAATCTCGACTGTTACCCTTCAAATCTATATTTCAGGAATGCCTTTCATTTCACTATCACTTATTTATGTGATTTTTGGTTATTTTAGATGTTGTTGATGAATTGATTTTCGATAGTCAATAAGGTATATTCGTTTCAACAGTACAACACTAGTGTGTAACGTACACCATAGTTATACCCGCCGACATCAGTAACACACCATATAAAGGATACTGACATGTACTGAGATTGGCACATATACCCATTATACAATCATTACTGCTACTATCACTACTACACGCATTACTAGTAGTACTATTGTTTCAATACTTCTACAGCTTTTGAGAAATAATTTTAATACTAGAATATATTCATATGAATATAGTTTCGGTAAAATTTATTCACTTTGAAAATGATATACAACACATTCCAAAAAAACAACAGAAAAACGCTGTCTAAATTCATACAATCACACCATATATACAATATTTATCTAATAAGGTCACTTTAAAGCCTGGCAACTTATGCCAATTTAGATTTATGAATTTTCTGGCTTATGTATCGTATAACGTATTCTTACCAAGGAGTTTGATTATTATGTCTAGCGATCATCAATATGACTGGCATATCATTCATTTCGAATCACCTTGAACTTATGAATTCCGTATCTGTTTTAAATGGTATAAAAGTAGAAGGATAACGAATGAAATTTCGGTTAAAATGAGAAAGAATTCAAATGTGTTTCTTCTATTTACCTTGCTTCAATTATTTCTTTATGAGTCCATAGAAAATGGTAAATTATCAGATGTACATAAAAGTATTAGAAAAAACGTTTATAGTTGAATCCATGAGTGCATTGAAACTAGATCACCATGAGAAGCCTAGAAGGACTCGCCTTCTATTTCAAGGCCGACAGGTTTTGGGTTAAAATCTCTTGAGACAGGATCTTAGATACACACTCATGAGGAGTTCTACAATATGACGTAATGGATGTTCATCTTTTCACAATTTTCCATAGTGTTCTAGCTTCAATCGATTCGTGGTCTCAACTCCTGAAATGTGTTTATTATTCTAAAGAAGAACTGTGAATGATTTCATTATGTTTTCTTATCAGATTCAAATTCGAAAAAAGAAATTATATTAGATGAAATGAAAGAAGCAAATCGTAAGTGTTCTCGTTGAAGATATTTTTTAAATGATAAACCTTTACAATATTGCCATTTGGTGGTCGATGAACATTACGTTATAATACAAAAAGAAAATAACACAAAATCGATATTCCATTTTTATGGTTGAAATCATGAATCATATGAAGCTGAAATATAATGAAAAACCATGAAGGACTCGCGCCCACTATCGAGACTGTTGATTCTTGGATCGAATCTCTCGAGGCATGATCGTGAATGCGCACTGCTGATGAATTTCACAATTAGACAAAATGGACGTTCAATGTTTTCAGGTTTTTGAAAATGGTCCAGTTTCAATTCATTCATGATCCGAACTACTAAGTTGTTTGTTATCATTTAAATGTTATTATTTTGAAATTAATAGGATCTCTTCAGTTAAATATGCGGTCACTAAGGTTGTATGGTCAAATAATCAATCAGATAACTGGTAAGATAATGTTTATTTATTGAGATGTTTTTTTAAATTTTTGTAAAATTTAAGTGTAAAATCGATTGGATGCCGTTGAATGCCAGATCAGTGGTCTGTCAGTTAAAAACTATGGCTCAATACTGTTAGGTCTTAGGTTTGAATCCCGCGGGTTCGAGATAGTAGATGCGCACTGCTGAGGAGTCCTATTATAGGACGAAAAGGTCGTCCGGTGCTACTTGGTTTTCAAAACTTGTCTAGCTTCAATTGACTCTTGATTTCAAATTTGAAAAATAGATTATCATCGATTATCTTACATTATATGAACATGTTAAAATAAACTAAATAACAATTTCATAGTGATGATGAAATACATTTCCGATTAAAGTTATTTATGAGCCATGGTAAAGATGATTTGTAAATAAGGAGAATAATTATGATGGAGTTCATCATTCTCCTGAACAACACCATCAGCACTAACGTCGAGTAAAAGTGAAGTCTTTCAATTTCTCAACATGTGCTTCACAGCTTGTCCTCTACACCTCCATGTTGATTGTTTCTTGTTGAAATTAAATCTGTCATTGTTCACTTCCTCGTTTTGGTTGCATCTTCCAGTGGTTTTAATTTTATTCTTATGTTTCTTGAAAAGCTCCTGTAACTTTTACTCGTGTTTTTTCAAATTGCCTCTGTCCAAAATCTCCATATTTTTCGAGTCTAATGTATATCCGCAGTTGTCAACGTGAACTGATATAAGTAAAGACATGTCATGGCGTTTGACTGCTAATTGATGTTCATAGAAGCGAAGATGATGAGGACATCCGCTACGTTCGATGTAGTGTTTGTCGCAGTTGGCACAAATCATTTTGTAGGTGATGTTTGGTTTGTTTTCTTTTTTCATTTTATTCTTTGGTTGGCATAGGATGGATTGTAGGGATATTATTGGTTTATGATCAATACCTACTCCAAAGGTTTTCAGCAGTCTCGTTTATGTAGATAGGTGTGACTGTAATTCAGGATGAAGTTGATTAGGTAACCGTGCTTTTCAAAGATGTGCAAGTATTTTTTAAATTTTTCCATGCCGTTATTGTATTGCAGCTTGTTACGCCCTCTTGAACAAGATTTGTACGCAGTTGATTTTTCGAGCTCTTGGGCTGTTGCTATTGTAGTTGGGAATTCGCTCGTCGTTTATGAGATCCCCGCATGCTTGAGTCTCCAGTTCAACTGTGTGAGTGTTTGACTTCTAAAAAACTGAGCTCGTTGGCATGCAACGATGATAATGTTTAACTCCATCTAATCCACAGTATGTACCAAACATTCTCTATTGTGTTCAGTGAGTAGCTGTCTCACAACCAAAATGAACTAATCGTTCAGTGCTTCCAGGTTTCCCATAGTGTCTATCCACAATAAACTTATGAACTCAACTAATAAATTGCTACGATCTCCATAAAATCTTATGCTGATAATGAACAATGTTTGTTTAGAAACATGTTGAATAGGTTTTCGATGAATTGTGAACCTATGAATAATTTTCTCAATTTACTTTATAAACCACTTAATTTTACAAGGAAATAGTTCAGATCAGATCCGATCAGTATGGATCGGATCAAGTCTGACTAAATCAGATCACAACATTTCAACAAAATAGATCAAAAACACATTATCCCTTTCTTTTCATGAATGAATGCTAGATAAACTCAAATCAGTAAATCTTGTAGATTAAATCTCAAATTAATTATTTATTTAGAAGAGAACAACAAAGATGATCATGGTAATATACAAGCAACTAATAAATGTACGTTTAATTATTTGTTTAATTAATTATACACGTATCTGGGGAGCATCACTGATAAGCAAAGAGGAACGGATGCAGATGTGAAGGCGAGGATTGGCAAAGCAATGATCGCATTTCTACAATTGAAGTGAATATGGAACTCAAAACAACTCTCAACTAATTTCAAAAGGAGAATCTTCAATACGAACGTCAAGACAGTCCTACTTTATGGAGCTGAAACCTGGAGAACGACCAAATCCATCGTCAAGGATGTTCAAGTATTTATTAAAAGTTGTCTACGCAAAATACTCAACATTCACTGGCCGGATACTATCAGCAATAGCGTTTTATGGTAGAGAACAAATCAGCTTCCAGCTGAAGAGGAAAGTAGAAAGTGGATCGGACATATATTAAGGAAATTTCCAATGTGCTTTACAAGGCAAGCCCTTAATTGGAATCCGGAAGGGAAGCGGAAAAGAGGAAGGTCTAAGAACATATTGCGCCAGAATATAGAGGCAGATATAGAAGGGGTGAACAACAACTGGAGGAACTGCTCAAGACAGAGTTAGTTGGAGAACGATGGATACCGGCCTGTGCTCCTCCACGAGGGGCAACAGGCGTACGTAGTAATAATAGTAGTACGTTGACTTGAAAATAAACATTGATGGATAAATTTTGTTGTTTCTTCAAACAATATTAATTACAGATGTAGAATGTTTAGTCAAATATAAACACAATGAATATAATCATCATCTTATGTTGGGTTTGTTAAATAGTAGTTTTATCATAAAAGTGTATCATTTTCGGGAATAAAAAATTGTATAATTTATTAATCAATCTGATTGCTTTTTTTTATTCATGATTTCGATCTGATTGTTTTCTCTTTTCGGTTTGTGGAATTCTAAGCTGTGAATCATCAGATTATCTGGTTTGATGATTTTTTTAATGTATGTTTTATACACTTCCAGAGTCTTTATATAATTTTTTCTTTAGCTGAAAGCTGAGATGTTCTCTACCATAGTAGTTTGTAGTTAATGATATCCAGTCAATCGACGTACGGTATCTTCTGAGATTACTGTTTATAACTATTTGAACTGTTTTGATGACAGTTGTATTAGTTCTCCAAATTTCAGCTACTAACAATTACATCAACTACAGAGATTTTCAGTCTTTAGTTTAGATGCGATTTCAAATGAATGTCACTTGAGTTCATGTTTTCAAGCGTCATCGGATGATTCATATCCACCTTGTGATCCAAAATACTGGTCGAGAAAAGAGGGAAAATTTGAAAGAACCGCACTCTTTGATAACCCTTCCGTGAATTGGAGTTTCCATATTGTTTTATAAGGTGTATTGTATACCAGAACATAAAGCCATTTTATTTAGTTCACGTATTTTATCTTGCTTACTTGTAAATATCTTAGAACTTGTGAAAGCTGTGAATAATATAGAACAGAAGTATAGTAAGTGCTTAAAAGAAATGAATATTTCACATCACAAGGTGGTTTTTATAACTTATTAGTTGGATTCATAATTTACTGAAAGGTAGACCACCATAGAAAACCAGGAGGTACTAGATGGTGATTTGATTCTAGCGTGGCACTCGTGGGCAGTGTTTATCCACGTTCCCCTTTTTCGAGGGATTTTAACCCAAGCCTTGTCATTCATGAGAAATTTCACGGATTGGTTGAAATTAGACATTGACACCATGGGATGTAAACTCAGTAGAATCCCATAGATGTGAGCGTGCTTTAAACTACTGAGTAGTGGCATATTAGAACGAAACGACCGTCCAATGCTTTCATGTTTTCAATTGTAGCATAGCTTAGATCGACAGATGAATGTAACCATTCAACTATTGAACATTTCATACTTTATGAACACTATACATGTAAACATTTATTATGAAATGAGGTTCCTCTTATTGTTATGTATACAGTACAATTCCACATACAGTATTTCTTGAAATATAATGTTACTTCATAAACGTAATGTCTCAACTTTATTCCAATGACTGTTGATAATTTTAAATAATAAACTATGTAGATATAACGTATCCGAAATCACTCAAATGGAAAGAATGTTTCGTTAATGAAAGTATTGCTTACAAAAGTTAGTTATAACAATTTGATATAATTTATGAGAAATTATCATGTATATATATCATTAGTTTGAAATCAGTGTTTTTCAACTCCCCTAGGTGAACCTTTTGTGTTCACCAACATGTTTGATGTGATAAGCATTTGCTTTTCGTCATCTCAATTACGTAAAGAACAATTTGTCCACGAGAAGGCAGTGCATAGGAATTTCGCGTTATTGACTGTATACGTGTATCCATGCGAGAGCATTTGGAGGGGGAGACCTTTCTGTACCTACTCTGGGCCGTACCTGTGCATTTGAGACAGAAGGTTTATTCATATAATATTTTCGTGTATAAGGCGAGATGTTTATTTACATAGTCGAAAATGGTCAACGACGTGCAACTCTACTTTTGAGGAAAACGATGTTCTGTGAAGGGTTAAAATTTGTAGCATCTAGTTTTATGCTGTCAGAAGTTGTCACATTTCTAATATTTCAATGATAACGTTTCAACGGGTGACAGAATTATGAATCTCCAATAGGGATTATTGATTTGCCTAATACTTTGTTGAGTTTTAATGAAGAAACTTGCATAAATTATCTTTTATTTTCATATTTGGACAGATATGACATTGATATATAATCGGCAAACATGTGATAAATTGAAACAGCCCAATGAACCAGGTATAAGAGCTTAAATTATACATTTGTTGCTAACCATATATAAAGTATATTGAATGTTTTATTCAGAATTGTTTTATAATACATAAAATTTCAGTTATTGTCAAGGGTATAGCTTAAAATAGAAGAGTTTTACTTTTTCCTCTAAATAACCTAATATGGTGAATCTTTGTAGGCCTTTCTGGAATAGAATGCTACATTAAAGCACGGTACATCTACTGGGGGCCTAATAGCTGTTTTTGCATGGCTTTCGCAGAATCATCACATCTTTGGAGGGACCCTTTTTTCTTTCTTTTCTCTTTGTTATTCTGGACAAACTCATTCATTCTTTCTTTTTGAACAACTAATAGTTGTGCAATTTGGCCCTTTAGCCTTCATCATCATTTGTGTGTATAAGTAGATCGTATGTTTTAGCCCATCTCTACCAACCGGATACTGCTCACGTTAGTTCTTGGAAACAGTTTCAGTATGCAAGAGGGACGACAAGGATGCGTGAGTCGAGTTTCGCCTATTTCACTTAGAATAATAATTTTTTTTCAAATCTGAGTAAAAGGATAAGTAAAACTTGAAAATTCATTAGAATCTAGATCTTGCATTGTTAACGATAAAGAAGCTGAGTTCACTTTTTTTGAAATCGTGGTTGAAGATTTACTTGCTATTGTTTACTTTTATCTTCTCATTGTTATATATCACTGTAATTGATCAGTCATTTGTTGGCATAAGTATATCCTATGTAGATTTTCTCGTTATTGCCTTCTGTCACAAACTTTATAAACAAAGATGAATGTTTTCTAGGTTGTGATAAACCATCCAGCTGAGAAAAAAATTTGTCAAACATAATAATATTTTTGATGTTTATTCTTTGATATCATTAGATGTGTAGATGCGTGTGCAGAAGAGTTTGAAGATTATCGCTGATATTATGTTACTTCTCAACATACAATTACCATTTAATTTTTTTAGATACTTATGTATTATCTTACTGGATGCAAATGCGACGTATAAACATCATTAATTTCAATCGTAATTTTCGTAAGTATATCTAGATTTTTATTCAATAAGTTGAGGAAGCTATAATTTATGAACGAAATAATTAGATTTGGTCTTGAAATCTGCTCAACTATTTGGCTAATTAGCGTCTTAGCATTTTAACTGACGTCGGTTCGTGGAGAAAACCTTGAATCTTATCCACAAGCTCAGCATCAACTGTAAATCATAATTCCGGTCCTTCCCACATGTTTTATAACCCTCATTTGGCCGTAGTTGGACTTAAAGCGTTAATCGAAGCTCATTCATAAATTATAGTCTCACTCACCTTCATGTAAATAAGTTCTCCATTAGCTTAGGCACCTGAAAATTGATATTGACCGATCAATTGTCTTAAATGTAACCGTAGACTTCCACGTAGCACTTAGCATTACATTTTCAGTTGATATGATAATATATTTTAAAATAACAAAATATTCACTATATTGATTGCATTTTCGTAGTCAAAATCATGAACTAACCAATTCCTGAACCTTTATCAAAAAGCTGGAAATGATGAATAGCGATTTCATTCCGATGAAATGGTCTTCACCGAAGCCCATCCACTATCATGAACACAGGGACATCGTTCTTCTCAAACAAACACTTCATTTCTAGGCCATTGAATTGTCAGCCACTAGTAATGATATTTTTTCAACTTTATTGCAAGTTATAATGTCTGATTTTGTATTATTCTAGTCATATATCGGTTTCTGTCAGAACTTGTCAACGTCGTGAGCAATTAGAATGAAATACGTAAGTGTAAGGTTGAATAGATTTGACTGAACGTTGAGAAAACATGTTATGTTGAGTTTATCAGATGAAATCATATCGAAAATATTGAGTGATTTGCAGAAGAAATAATTAAATGAACTCACTATTTATCTATCTCACATGCAACAAAAAATGCAATAGAAGAAGACCAGTTTTGCAGCAGCCTTATCAGTAGAATGTCTCAACTTAAACATAGTGCAGAGCAAGGTTCTCCGATGCAATGCAGCATGCACCAATCGAATAACACTTGGCGGAGAGGCTTTGGACGATGAAAGTTTTCTACTTACCTGAACAGCATCGTTGATGAACATGGTCGATCTGATGAACATGTAATGACGATGATCGGTTGAACAAGAGCAGCATATTTGTTACTGCTGAACATATGTAACACAAAACAACTGTCTGTCAACAAACATCAAGGTCAGAATTCTCAATAAAAATGTCGATACAGTTCTACTGCATGGGATAGAAACTTGGATAACAACGAAAGGAAACTGTTTATTGACAGTTGTTTACGCAAAATATTTTGGATTCGTTGACCAGGCACATTAGTAACAACCTACGTCAAGAGAGAACAACTCAGATATCAGCAGAGGTAGAAATAAGGAAGAAGCGCTAGAAGTGAATATTGAGAACATTAAAAAAGGCACCTAACAACGTCATGAGGCAAACCAACAATTGGAATCGTGAATGCCATAGGTAAAGATGAAGAATGATGAATACATTAGGTTAAGAAATGGTGACAGATATAAAAATAATGAACAACAAATGAATCGGACGAGAAAGGAATGCCCATTACAGAATGTGTTTGAGAATGCTTATCGGTGGCCTATGCTCCATTGAGAGTAACAAGTGTAGGAAAGTAAGTAAGAAATAGGTGAACGATTTTTGTTTTGTACTTTGTAATATATAATGAGTCATGATTGATGAAACGCTAGAAGAAGATCAATGCTACATAACTTGTAGTTTAAAATCACAGACTGACGTTATTGTGAAGATTATTAAGAACCAACAACAGATAGGGAGCTTCGATAAGAGACCACTTTGCAATACGTATTCACAACTTGACCTTAAATTGAATGACGAAGATTCACTATACGCATTTCGATTGCTTGCATCTAACACCTAACAACACTCTGAATTTCTATCCAGAATTTAAGTTACAAAATTTATCAAAGTGAACAATACTGTATACAAAAGTATTCAAGAAGAAAAATATGTTATTAGATCGAAAAAAACACTATATGATTGAAATTGAAGGGAATATTACATCTATTCGATGAAAGTTTTCCTCTACACTATAATTTATAAACAAACCAATCAGATATATCATAAAAGGTCAAGGATTTTGGCGTGAAGTACACTCATCTACTTGCCTAAATAGCTTCTTAGCATTTTAACTGATGTTAGTTCGTGATGGAAATCCTAAATGCTATCCTTAAGCCTAACCAGCAATTCTAAATCAAAATAGCTATCCTTCCCATAGGTTTATTATTCACACTTGGAGCTAGTCAGTTGATGGGCATTCGGAATGTCAGTAAAGCGTTACACAAAGATCGTTCGTAAATTATAGTCTCACCGAGCTTTGCATTTATATACTGTAGTACAATGATAATAATTTTAATGTGAATGAGAACACAAGTGTGGAAAACTGAATATATTTGGGCATCAAGTACATAAAACGCCTCAGTAAAATCCAAGAATCATACAGGTAATACTTCATTTGCAAATATCAATCCATTGTCTCAGGTTTAAATGATTGCGAGATTTCCATACCAATTGCTTTCTGATTTCTTTCATTCCCTCTCAGTTTTCTTGAGCTTCTGCGGTCAGATATTCTATTTCTGACCATTATTAATTATATTACTCATATCCATAAAAGTAGCACACATCCTAATGGAACTTTCGATTACAATTATAGATGTTGCACTGAAGTTTTCAAATAAAGAAACAGAATTGTTTATGAGAACATTATCAACTTGTAATGAACAATGTATAACATTATTGCCAAATAACTAATTCAACTCCATTATTTCCTCTTTATTGTAAAAAGTTAAATAACCAACAATTACGTATGAACATTCTATTTTTTTTAATAAAAACAAATGTTTGATAAGAAACATGGGATGTAAGTGAGAGATGATTTAAGACTTTTATCCTTATTTTATCAGCAAAATTGGATTGTGGCTGGTAATAGAATTTAAACAAGGTATTTCTTCCCATTTGAATTTTGTCAGATGAATGTACTTCCATCTCACAGTTGACGCATATTCCACCAATCGAATCAGCTATCATTCACTACAAACACCATGACATTATACACTTAGCTACTGAGTCTGCTTATGCAATATGGTGGTATAGTTTGCTTGTATCTAATTGATCAATTTCTCGTTGTCCTGTGTACATCCTGTGTGGATTGCCTCGATATTGCTCTAAGTCACAACCTTTATCTCATCTATACTGTCTCATTATAAATTAACTATATTTAAAATAGTTTTAGGTTTTCAAAACGACTGAATAGTAGAACATTTATCATGACCGAAAGTCAAATCATTAAATAATTACATGAAACATAAGAAGCTATGAATATAGGATACTTTATATTCCCTGATGATGCATGATGCGAGAATTTTATACATTATAAATGTCATTTGAAATAGAAAGAAAATAATTCCCAGATGAAAACCAGTATTTGCAGTCAATGTTTCGTTGAACAAAACAATATTTTTAACACTGCTATAAAGAGGTATATATGTGGCTAGAGGTAGTGCTAAAAGCAGCAGCATCAGCAGTATTATTGTAAGCCGCAGTAGTAGTGTTAGTCATAGTAGTACTGGCAGTAGTATTGATAGCAGAAGTGAAAGTTGTATAAATAGTGGTACTGGTATTAGTAATAGCAGTAATAGTGGTAGCGGTAGAAGTGGTAGTGATAGTAGTCGTATCAGTATCAGCAGTAGTAGAAGTAGTAGTAAAAGCGTATAACTAGTGTTAGTAGTAGTGGGAGCAGCAGCGGAAGTGGTACTACTGGTGGTAATGGTGGAAGTAATAGAAGTATGAGTGATGAAAATATTGAAAGTGGCAGTAGTAGTAAAAGCGGTACTAATGGTGATAGTGGTAGTAGCAGCAGTACTAGGAGAAGTAGTGGTATTTGTGGAGTTGTTGGTGGTATTTTTATTATTATTAAAATTTGTAAATCTTGTGTGAGTGGTAGTAGTGGTATTAGTATTATTAGTAGGAGTGGTAGTGGGAGTAGTTGTTGTTATAGTAGAATACATAGTAGTAATAAAGGTCGTATTAGTAGTTCAGGTTGAACAACTAGAGGTAGTTGTATTAATTGTTGTGCTAGTAGTAGAAGTGGTATTACTAATGGTAGTAGTAGTTGTTATAGTAGTTCTAGAATTGGTAATGCTATCAGTAGTTAGTTGGAGTTTCAGTATTGAAATGATACTAGTAGTTATATTGCTGGTAAGGGTGGGAGTAGCAATAGAAGTGATAGTTATACTGGTGGTGAAAGCGGATCTGCAATGGGGAGAGATTACAAACTTATGTGCTTTCGATAGACTTGCAAACTGACAAACTCAACGAATTCAAGACATCTTTCAGCAATAGGTCAAGGCGTTTCACCATCTAATCACTGAAGAAGGGACTATCATGAAAAGCAACTTGAAACGAACGGAGGAGGCAATCACTTCGACATATCTTGAGGTTCTGAGCCACAAGAAGCACCATAATGAAAAACGGATCACTGTTGATACACTGGATAAGTTTGAAAAAAAGGAGGAACAAGAGGGTAATAATCCATATGAGCCAAACAAGAGCAGAAAAAGCCTAGGCACATGCTGAATAGACAGAGGTAAACAAGAAAATGAAGAGGGACATAAGAACCGAGAAACGTGAATATGTGGAAGAATTCGCAATCACTGCGGAAAATGGTGCGATAGACGGAAACATGAGACAACAAAGAAACTCGCTAGAAATTATCGTAAACCAAAACGACCAGTAAAAAGCAGGGAGGGTAAATAATTCACCAAAATTGTTGAACAGCAAAACAGGTGGATAGAAAACTTCAGAGAACTCTGTAAACGACCAGCTACATTGAACTCACCCAACATCGAAGTAGCACTCACGGGCCTCCCAATCGATTTTGGCTTAACAAAAATTGAAGAAATCAACATGTTCATAAGATTAATGAAGAGCGGAAAAGCAGCAGAATCAGGCGACATTTCGGCAGA